AGATCACAATCAAACCATTACGCTGAGAGGGTTTAAACAATCACTAATGCTTCAATCTCCAGGCCCGCACGGCAAAAAAAACCGTCTTGTTTTCCTATATAAATACAGGTGAAACTCAAAAAATATAGTGCAAAAGTTCATTTATTTCAGTAAATCAACTTAAAATGTGAAACTAATAGACTCATTACATGCAAAGTGAGATATTTCAAGCGTTTATTTGTTAGAATTGTGATGATTATGGATTATAGATATGAAAACCTTTTCACAATATTCTAATTTTGACTTTGGGGTTTTCCTAAGCTCATCAAATTTATTACACATAAAGCCTTGAAATATCTCACTTTGCATGTAATGAATCTATATAATTTATTAGTTTCACCTTTCAAGTTGAATTACTGAAATAAAGGAACTTTTGCACCATATTTCTCGAGTTTCACTGTATATGAAGATTTACTTGAGAAGCAAAAATTACATGAGATATTATTTTGTTTTAGGACAAATCAAGCGAGTTAATGCTTGAAACATGATTTTTTGGGAAAACAAGATCATTTAAAAAAAAAAATAATAGTCAATGTGTCCCACAATGCAATGTGCTTTAAATTTCCTCTGTGATGAATGTGTCCAGATTTAATCTCTTTCTTGATTATTTAATTGAACCGTCAGACATTGAAGAATTCACTTTAACACTAAAACTTACTAAAAGTACGATTTTTTTATCTTTTTGAAAGAAGGCAGCATTTATTTAATCAAAAATACTGTAAAATATTGTGAAATATTATTATAATGTTAAACACCAGTTTGCTATGTGAATATATAGTAAAATATAATTTATTCCTGTGATCAAAGCTGAATTTATCATCATTACTCCAGTCTACAGTGTCACATGATCCTTCAGAAATCACTCTAATATGAGGATCTGATGCTCGAGAAATATTTCTGATTATCATCAATGTTGGAAACAATCATATTATAGTGGAAACAGTGATGCATTTAATTTTTCAGGATTCTTTGATGAATAGAAAGCTCAAAAAACAGCATTTGTTTGTATGTTTTGTAACATTATACATGTCTCTTTTGAACAATTTAATGCATAAAACTATTAATTTCCTTCAAAAAAGTTTTAAAATCTTTCTAACCCAAACATTTTAACTAAATCTACTGATAAAACATTTATCTGCGCTACAAATAATGCGTGTTACATAATCAGATACATAATCATAGTTTAATTTTTTAATAAAAATAATAAATAACAAACGTTTAAATAACAATTGCACATTTATTGACTGACGGCTGCTGTTCTCATGCTGAGAGAAATCATGCAGAGGCGTTGTGTGGAAACATGATGGTTATTATTATAGTTCTAGACTAAATGTGAGAATTACTCATCTCACTTACACAAAAAAACAGATTCAGTGTCCCTCAAAATGAATATGCAAACTCAGAACAAGCAATAATGTTATATAACACAAATATACTTCATTTAATCTCACTTTATTAACCAATGTCTTTGCTGCTGTACATAAATTTAAAAAAAAAAAATGCCAGGGTTAAAAATACACAAATACACAATAAAAAAAATTGACTGAAAACAATACTAAATTGACCAAACAAACAATAAAAGGCTTTGACATTTCACAAATTCTGAAAAATATTCAACAAATAAATGGTTTTAACAGCTTTTTTATTTGTACTTTCCTTAATGGAAACCATATAATTATCTAATTCTTTCAATAGCACAGAAAAAAAAGGTTTCTGATTAGTAAATTTACACCGATGAATATGAAATTGACCTAAAATAATCAAAAGATTAATAATATATGCTTCCTTTTCCATGCTCTTTTCATATTGTAAAAAAAACATGTTCGTATAACAAAAGAACATTACATCCCAATTTGTTATTTATAAATTTAGAAACTTCCCACCACAACCTTTGGGTGTATTGACAGTGCCAAAAAATATGAGGTACAGTTCCTGGTTGCAAAAAAACAAACTATGTCTTTGATAAATTTGGATAGAAAATGTTTAGCAGGGTAAAATTTATGCAGTATCTTAAATGAGCCTTCGATGATTCAATTTAACCATACTAATCATAAATGACGTCAGATAAACATCACATTTGTGTTGTTGTTGTTGTTTTTATTGCTAAAGTAAGAGTTGATCTTTCTCTAAGGTTTGTTGGAGTGGCGCCCTCTACTGTACAGGAGTGAATCTGCATTTCCTTCAGCTTTCGATTTATTCACGTTTGCTCATTTCATTTTTCATGTGAAATGGCCTTTACATTTGCCAAAAATAGAACTTTATTTTATTAAAAATAAAAAATGAACAAGTCCAGCCCCGGCGGTGAGAAACCGTTACGCATTGCTTTCCATAAAAAGAAATTAAGTATCGCAATTAGCTACTTTTTTGGGGGGTTTTTTAGAGAGAATAACGTAATATTTTGATGCATTACTTTTAAAAGTAACTTTCCCCAACACTGATGCCTTTTGATTTCATCAGTCTCTGTACAGTATATCTATAACTGCGTTCCCGACAGCCGAACGTGAGCGCGATCTCCGGATCATTCGAGTCTCCTGCACTTCTCTAATGAAGAGACAGCGAAGCGCCTCCTGAATAACACACTTTTGTGAAGATCCATTAGGGGAACATATTGAAAAAGTGGAATCTGATCATATGCTTCAGCACATTCAGATGGAAGATCCAGACAGATCAAATTACCCAGAATCCCCTCTGACCAGCTTCCCAAAAACACTTTCAATAGATTTGAACGATCAGGTTATCCTGGATTAGGGCAGATTAGATTTGATTAAAGGATCAGATGAAATTTACTATGGGATTAACGGAGCTGATTTTCACACATACACACACATACACACACACACACACACACACACACATACCAACACGCTCTCACAGACATATACATACACACACACACACCAACACACTCTCACTGACATACACACACATCCACACTGACACACTCACAGACACACACACACCAACACACTCTCACAGGCATACACACACATCCATACATACACAATCACATGCACACATCCACATATCCACACACTCAGACACACACCAACACACACACACATCCACATGCACACATCCACGCACTCACAGACACATACACACACACATTTATTTTTTTATTTATTTTTGAATGAAAGAGTTTGCATAAAGAACCATTATGATGTTTTGTAATGAGAATGAAAGTTAAAGGGTTAGTTCACCCAAAAATGAAAATTCTGTCAGTATTTACTCACCCTCATGTTGTTCCAACCCCGTAAGACCTTCGTTCATCTTCGCAACACAAATTAAGATATTTAAGATATTAAGATCGCTCCTGCATACAGTCCATAGGCTTCTTGAGGGAATGACTCTTGATGGCATCGAAAAGTCATTAAAGACATCGTTAAAATAGTCCAAGTGACTACAGGGGCTCAATCTTAAGTTTATCAAACGACAAGAACACTTTTGTGCGCAAAAACAACAACAAAAATAACGACTTTATTTCAACTATTCACTTCCTTCTCCATGAGCCTGTAGTCAGTTAAAGCCTAGTTCACACTACGTGATTTTAAGCCCGATTTAAGCCCGATTTGCAAATCGTTGAGTCGCCGACAAGTCAGGGTGTTATCGCGTGCAAATCGCGGGCGATTAGCGGACGGTTAACGCTCGCCAATCCGTTAGTGTGAAAGAGCCAACAACGCATCAAAGACAGCTCGCAGACAGCTCGCAGACAGGTCACCGAGCTCAGAAAAATATCTAGCATGCTAGATATCTCGAGCAGTCGCGCGACTCAATCTCAGTGATGTCATGAGTACAGCCAATCATAGCAACGCATGGGTTGAGGACACCAGGTAAATCTTACTTTTTCTTTTTTGCATTTTTTTTCTCAGAGCAGATCGTCGAGCAAACAGTGTGCAGCACTAGTTTCTGTCTGACGATATTCGCGTGTTATGTTCTTCTCTGTAGTTTCGCGTCATTTCTGGTTCGTTTTTCGTTACAAAACATGGTTTCTAGACCAGATAGAATCGTGTTGTTGTCAACTCGTTATTTGTTTGATTATTTTCAGGATTTAGACCATACTATAGTACTGAAACAGCTCTCATTGAGTCACAAATGATATGCTCTTATCATCCGATCGTGGTTGTATCTCTATGCAGTGCGTTGTTAACTCGTGTAGTGAGTTACCTCCTGTTGTGGATCAATCACGTTGTGTTGTGTGGTGTGAACAGCTAAACAACTTGAACACTCATGATTTCACTGAGAGCAAGTCATGTAGTGTGAACTGCACAGTTCAGCCCAACATTTTAAAATCATGTAGTGTGAACTAGGCTTAACGTAGTGTGATTGCGTAAAGCTACGTCACACGTAGGCTCACTATTGGCCGACGCTGGTCATGTGTGTGTGATGCGTGTGACGTACAATAACAGAAGCTTACGCTATTAAACTAGTAACCTGACTCGCGCAGAGGGAGAAATAAGCAAATAGTTGAAATAAAGTCGTTATTTTTGTTGTTTTTTGCGCACAAAAGTGTTCTCGTCGTTTGATAAACGTAAAATTGAGCCACTGTCGTCACTTGGACTATTTTAACGATGTCTTTAATGACTTTTCGAGGCCAGCAAGAGTCATTCCCTCAAGAAGCCTATGGACTGTATGCAGGAGCGATCTTAATATCTTAAATATCTTAATTTGTGTCCCGAAGATGAACGAAGGTCTTACGGGGTTGGAACAACATGAGGGTGAGTAAATACTGACAGAATTTTCATTTTTGGGTGAACTAACCCTTTAAACACTGTAACACTGTATACGTAGCTTCACTTAGTTGGCAGAAAAAAAAACGTTTTATCTTACTGTAATTATATTATGTGTATGTACATATATATTTCCGCTTTGGTTTTGTGGTAAAAATATGACTGTAATGGTTTTTATTATTAATGCCATCCATTAATTCATAATAGAGCATGTTTCTGTGTGTGTGTGTTTAGGTTAGAATGGGTGGAAATCATCGAGCCGCGCACCCGGGAGCGCATGTACGCTAACCTGCTCACGGGCGAGTGTGTTTGGGACGCCCCGCCGGGCGTGCGGATCAAGCGCAGCGGACAGGACCAGTGGTGGGAGCTTTTCGACTCCAAAACGTCCCGATTCTACTACTATAACGCTTCGACCCAGTGCACCGTTTGGCACCGCCCACAAAGCTGTGACATCATCCCGCTCGCTAAGCTTCAGACGCTGAAGCAGAACACCAACATGGCTCCGCCCGCGACCACGACCAGCGCCGACAGCAGCCCGGCCCGCAGCGCCGTCAGCACCACCTCATCACAGGAGCACGAGGAGAAGACGTCCACCGCCGAGGAGGGAGAGAGGTGAGGCCCAAACTCACAAACATAATGTGTTTTTCATGCTTGAATGGCATATTATACTCCCCTTTCACAAGATGTAATATAAATCTATGGTGTCCCCACAGTGTGCGAAATTTCAGCTCAAAATACCACCCAGATTATTTATTATAGCTTGTCAAAGTTGCCCCTTTTCAGGTGTGAGTAAAAACACTGCATTTTTTGCGTGTGTGTGTCCCTTTAAATGCAAATGAGCTGCTGCTCCGCCCCCGTTCAGAGCTTTTTAGGAGCGCATTAAAGGGGTGGTTGATTACACTGTAAAAAAATATTGTTGGTTTAACTTAAAAAAGTGAGTAATTGGGTTGCCTTAAAATTTTAAGTTCATTGAACTGGAAAAAGTAAGTTAATACAATGAAGGAGAATGATTTAATCATCAGAAACTCAAAATTATATGTTATCTGAACTAAATAAATTATTTAAGTTGATTTGACAAAAGAAAAAATGTTGTGATTACTACACTGTAAAAAATATTGTTGGTTTAACTTAAAAAAGTAAGTAACCTGGTTGCCTTAAAATTTTAAGTTGATTGAACTGGAAAAAGTGAGTTAATACAATGAAGGAGATTAATTTAATCATCATAAACTCAAAATAATAAGTTATCTTAACTAAATGAATTATTATAAAGTTGATTTGACAAAAGAAAATATGTTGTAATAACAAATCTTGAAAATAATTTTTTACAGTGTATGATTTTACTATTCTAACTGTAGTTAGTGTGTAACGTTGCTGTTTGAGCGTAAAAACATTACAACACTCGAAATTCAAAGCAAAACGAGATATTCGCTTTTAAAGAAATTGATTTTTAAGGACTACAACAAACGGCTGGAAGAACTACACGAGCTTCCTCCCGGGTTAGTGACATCACCAACCCTAACATTTACATAAACCCGCCCCTGGGAGCACGATATATAGATTATTATGACAAAATATGCTAATCAATGACTAAAAGACAACTATCAGCTAAACAAATTCATCAACCGGGAAAAAATCTACCGGGAAATTTCGTAGACCACCGGCCCTTGTCGCCGGCACGATGATTTTAATAGCGATAGCATTTACAGTTTTACTGATTTAAAAGTAACTTTGTTGTACTATGCTGGAGTAAAGTTCATAAATGGTCGTTCTTTCCCATAGTAATTTCTAAAACTATGTTGGGTGGACTCTGTGCCTCTAAGGGGGTTTGGGAGCATGCTCACCCGCAAGAAAATTTGGACATTTTAAGGTTAAATGCATCAATCTCGTGCTCTCTGATTAAGATTAATTAAGAGCTTCAACCCATGAACTGCTCGTTGAACAAAGAAAAAGCATTCATTTGTACCAGGACAATAAAGAGGGCTCAAACATCTTTTTAGTTATGAGAGTCTCAGTCTGCATTACATTATCAATGGAGTTTTAGGATGCCATAGGAACATTTATTATAATAATGTAATAATGATTTATAATAATTCCTATGACGTACTGTAAAATACATTTAGCCTATAAATGTACTATGTAAATGAAAATGAGTATTTCAAAAGTATATTTTAACCTACATCACACTATAATATAGGAAAATTAAAATACTTTTGTCCTAATTTCTTCACTTGCAAGAAATAAACCCTTGAGCTTTTATTTAGGAGAAAACACCAGATGATCACGTGAGCAAAGTAATCACGCAGAACAAACTGGATGCTATTCTAATGTCAGTTATTATAATGGCGCAACGCCATATCATGGTTTCAATTTCAGTTCGTTGGCAAAATATAACGCTAGAGACCTTAATATTAGGTTTTACATGTATCTTTACATATGTATTGGGAAAAGGGAGAAGAGAGAGATCGGCAAAAGGCGGATTCGAACTCGCGTTCGGCACATCAAAAGCTGCTTTCTAGCACTTCACGCCCTACGACCTACGCCACTGAAGCTGTTTCAAGACGGACGTCTTTTTGCTGTAAAGACAGGCACTTAGTGCAAATATATGCTCCGTTATAGAAAATGTTAAAACATTTTATTAAAATATATTTTATCAGACTGGCCCTCGCGGCCTCGAAACACTATAATAACACCGATAATAACATTAAAAATTTACATATATCGGCCGATACCGATATTGTGTCTGATATATCGTGCATCCCTACTATACAGTATGTTGCTTTTCTTTGTGTCGAGTAGTAGAGCACAACAGTCTTAAAAAAATCCCACTTAATAGAGAAAGCAATAAACCACTGCTCAAAATTTTTTAAATGTTATGCTCTTATGCTCACCGAGGCTTTTCAGACCAGATGCATCATCTCTGAGCTACACAAGGAAATACGCTTCTGTAAAAGCCACAAACACACTGTGATTTTTCATGAATCCTTTCCGGAAACCAAGAGAAGTGTTGCACTCAGCATTTGCACGCTTAACGCCTTCATAGTGAGAGATGTTTATGAATTTGCATGCACATGAAAAAAAAGAAGAATGGATTGAAAGGTAATATCGAAAGACACGGTTATTATGCTTCAAGCTGTTTTTGAGATTTATTATTCAAACACTGTCGCACTTACATAGTTTCATCCCATGAGGAACGCGGGGACGGGAATGATTTCGTATGACAGAGGAGGAGGAGGAGGAGGGAATGAACGAAGAGAGAGCCATAGAATGTGTAAATTGATTTGAAGGTCGGATATCCATGAATAATTAATATCCAAAGGAAAACACTGCTCACTTTGTAGTGGGTCTCTTACTTGGGAGAGAGACTGAGTGAGAGATAAGTTTCTTGTGTTCGGAGTTTTAATCCGGCTGCTAAAGGACACACACACACACACACACACACTTGGCTGTGTAATCCAGTCTGGTCATGGGGAGCCTTCATCAGCCCGTGGTGGCCAAGTGCTGAATTGATTTTACACACTTTTTTTTTCTTTAGCGCTCAGAGGCCTTTTTTGTGTGCTTTAAACTCACAGACCTCTTAGATTTAGATCTTTAAAATGGCCTTTGAAGGACTGAGATTTTTAGTGGTGCTTGCCTTGATCTGAAGTCAAACATCATTGTTATTACTGCTCTGTTCGTAATTTGAACAAACCTAACATTAAAATACTGAAACAGCTTTCTTTCAGCTGATATCATCAATCCCTCTTGTTAAATAGAGATGCTTTGTGTCATCCAGTCTCTTGCTCATGGAATAGTTCACATTTTTTAACCCGTTTCACTTGGAAATTCATCGCATTTGAGAAATAAAATGGTTTGTGATCATTTCAGAGCAAGACATTGTCTTTAACATGGGGTATAGAAGTTGTTTGTGTATTAAAACTGAGGTCTGTTATTTTAAGTGTGGTTCTAGTGTTGTGTTTTTATGGTTGTGTTTATGTGTTTTAGATATTGCACAGCACTTTGTTCAATGTTGTGTAAAAGTGCTTCAATAAATAAAATAAACGAAACATCTTAGCGTCAATAAACGGACTTTTTTTGGACTGGAAAAATTCTAACCTTTCCTAAGTCAAAATGTTTCTAAATGTTTCAATTGGCCAAATGTAACAAATTTCGATGTGATCAGTCACTAGAAAATGTTGAGTTGGGAGGTTATAATTTTTTTTACAGTGTTGATAAATAGTAAAGAAATTCTTATTAATTATTAGTCTTATTTTTCTCTCTTCTGTTTAGTAGTAAATAAGATTTGATTTAATTTTTAATAAAGGGTTCCAAAAGTAAAATAAAATAAGAAGAACATTTATTTGATTAAAATAATAAATATAAATAGCAAAAATATTTGTATTTTCTCTTTAAAAATAATAAATAAATAAATAAATAACTGTTTATTAGAGGGGATATATCATGAAAGTAAAGTAAAATAAAATAAATATATAAAGATTAAAAAGATAAAATAATATATATATATTAAGAGTTCAGATGCAAAAACCTCTAAATGCCATTTGAAATTTTCTTCTTTAATGATGATTTTTTTATCAAACTTGTATATTTAATTTCAGTAATTTCACTGAAATAACAATTAATAGGTAATCATCATTGCCATTTAAGTGAAATCACTGAACTTAAATATACAAGTTTGATAAAAATGATCATTCTAGAAGAAAATTTCAAATGGCACTTAGAGGCTTTTGCATCTGAACTCTTCATATATAAAAATAAATAGAATTTAGATATAGATAAATAGATCAAATATGTATTTCATTAAAAATGAATAATTATTTCGTTTGACTTAACTTTTCATGATAACCACAGTCTTGTTTTCTCTGGTTCAGATTTCGATGGGGCACTGGCACCAGAGAGAGGATGCTCATCAAGGTGTCGGATCGGGAACCCAGTTTTCTGACGCAGGGGAACGGATACTCCAGTTCTTCCCCGCGATCCAGACTCTCGTCCAGCACCGCCCCATCGGACCCCGAAGCCACGCCCCTTTCCCTGCAGGACCGGCCCACATCACAGTCTCCATTCCTGAAGAGGGCGGAGTTAAGCGGCACTCAACGCCGATGCTCGGGCGATTCCCAGCCTTCATCCCCTCGCTACGCGTACGAGCCTCCTTTATACGAGGAACCGCCCTCGGATTACCAGTCCCCGCCTATTTATGAGGAACCGCCCACTGACATGCACTGCGACCCCGCCTTTTTTGGTTCCGACAGATCTCCGGCACGAAAACCAGGTCTTTATCACTCGCCCAAACAAAGCCCGTCTCCTTACGGTCAACTTGTGTTGACGAGACAGCGCAGCTCAACGCCCGAGAAGACGTCTAACCAAGGCGATCGGGACTACAGCTCAAGTGGGCGGGACTACAGCTCCAGTGGGCGGGATTATAGCTCAAGTGGGCGTGATTATAGCTCAAGTGGGCGGGATTATAACTCTAGTGGACGGGAGTATAGCGCCGCTGGGCGGGAATATGTAAAACAACTCGTTTATGTTGAGCAATCTGGCTCCTCCCCTCGATTTCGCACGACTGAACGTTTGATGAGCTACGGGACCAGTTCAAATAGCCTGTCGGCGGGATTTTCTTACGGGGGCTCTTTTACGCTACAGCACAGTCACGATCTCAATGGTGGCAACAGAAAACGGAAGAACCGGAAGCCGTCTTTGCCGGGAGGAGAGGGGGACGGCATGGGATTGGGTCTCGGGGCGATGATCACTCAGGCCCGGTTGGCGTGGGAGGCCCAGCAGATGTTACATCAGCGAGGGGGCGTGTCCTCGGATCAGGGAGGGAAAGACGGGTATGAAAGTGACGGGGCGACGCCCCTGCCGCTGCCTGGCCCGGTGGTTCGGGCTTTCAGCGAAGACGAGGCGCTGGCACAGCAGGAAAGCCACTGGAAACGGGCCACTCTGGACAGACTGGCATTTCCTCAGGCGCTTCTAGAAAAGAGTCTGTCCATGCAAACCAACCTGGCGTCACCTGAACCGTACCTCCATCCCTCGCAGGTAACGCACAGATACATCAGAAACACAAAACATTAGCGGCTTTCGTTGGTAGTCTCGTGTTGCCAGACCTTCAGACTGACGACTCTGGACTCTCTCGCAGCTTTTCTTGGCCAAGGATGTTTGAATGACATGTAACGCAACCAATTCTGCGTCACGTTTAGGGGCGTGACTATATAATGTCTATGTCGTTAATATAAGAGGCTGACGTGCATCTAATAAATTATTCAGTCAAGAACGTTGTGCAAGTTTAGTGCTACAATCAGTGGCGCAAAAAGTGGGTTTGCGATATATGCGGCGCATAGGGGCGGAGCACAATGGGGGCGATGGTAAAAATATATATATATAAATATATATATATGAAGAGTTCAGATGCAAAAGCCTCTAAATGCCATTTGAAATTTTCTTCTAAAATGACCATTTTTATCAAGCTTGTATATTTAAGTTCAGTAATTTCACTTAAATGGCAATGAAGATTACCTGTTAATTGTCATTTAAGTGAAATTACTGAACTTAAATATACAAGCTTGATAAAAATGGTCATTTTAGAAGAAAATTTCAAATGGCATTTAGAGGCTTTTGCATCTGAACTCTTCATATATATATATATAGTTTTTTTTTTTATTGACTTTACTGGTAACCAAACGGTTCAAGGTCCAAAAGACAGTTTCAGTGCAAAATGCGAACTGTTCAAAGGGCTTTAAACGATTCCAGACGATGAATAAGGGTCTTATCAAGCGAAACGATCGCTCATTTAATAAATAAATAACAAAGTTTAAGTTTTATAAGCTCAAATGCTCGTCTTTCTCTGTTCTGTGATGCAGAGTCTGACTCTCCTGTTCGAACTTGTTCATCAAAATGAACGAATCTTTTTTCGAGTCATTTGGTCGATTCAACGAACGAAATGAACGACTTGACTCGGAAAAAGATTTCGAACAGGAGTCGGTACACTCTAAAAAACGCTGGGTTGTTTTAACCCATCTTTGGGTCAAATATGGACAAACTCAGCCATTGGGTTAAATGTTTAAATGGCATTTTTAACCCAACATTTGGGTTTGTCTATATTTGACCCAAATTTGGGTTAAAACAAGTGTAAACCTCAAATTCGATTGGCCTTTTTAAACATCAGAGCACTTTCTAATTATTAGCAATGAACTCAAATCAGGTTGATGTATCATGATGTTAGATTGCACTATTATTACGTAATAGGAAAGGTTTTCCTGGACACATTGGCGCCTCGGGCCGGTTGAGTGTTTTGTGGCAGCGTTGAGTTGAACTCTGAGCTCTTTCAGCCCAATATAATGAGCATTTAAACGTCCCGTCGCCCCGCTCGACTCAGGCCTGGACCGCTGGTGTAACGCTGCCAGTCGGGTTAATTGGGACGCTGACCTTTCAACGCCCGTTACCCAACCAGTGAAATCTTTGTTCTGAGTATTGGGATGGACGGTTCTCGGAGGCTAAATGTGTGTGCGTTTCCTTAAAGGATTTCTTTTTTGGCTCTGCTCTATTTGCTGATGGTAATGGAGGCAGACAGTAGGAGTAGAAAACGCTGTCACACAAACCGTCTACATTAATTCTGCTTCCCAAACATTCCCGAACAGCATTGAAATAAAGGCAGCTCAGTTCCTCCAGTGTTTAAATCATGATGCTTGTCCATTTTCAGAGATTTATGGGAAGGTTACAGGCTCTCGCTGAAGGCAGATGTGCATTTGCACAGCAGAACATGCACACACTCTTCGCACAGACACACCCTGCTGTAAGAGCATGAATATTTCAGCATGTGCAGTTTTAAGAGTCGCTGTGCTTATGTAAAGGCATCATGTCAGAGTCCTCACCCTCCTCTCTCACACACACACACACCAGGAAATACATGCGTGTGTGTCTGGGTCACATTTCATACCTAAAATGAATTATATTTTGCATATAAAAAATCTAACTAATTTTATGACCATTAAAATTTAACACATTTTCCTTGAATGCAAAAATATTCATCAAGATTAATAACATTTATTTAAAAATAAAAATGCTTTTTTTTTTTACATTTAATCTAAAATTACAAAGTAGTTAAAAACTAAAGATCTGATTTTTTTTGGGGGGATTTTTGTCTGCATTAAATATTTAAATATAAAGTTATTTAAATAATATAATACGATTATTTAATCTCATAAAATGTATGTAATATATATTTTTTGCTTTAGACTTATATAAGATTGCAGTTTGTCTGTCCACACCAGACGCGACACGACTGAGACGTGATCAAATCAATCAGAAATCTCAGCTGTCTCAGTTATATATCATCATAAGTTCATTTCAAATATATTTTGTTATTTATTTGGATATTTTGGGGTGAAATATGATCATTATGATCACTGCATTAAAAATTTGAAAAAAAAAATAGAATAATCAATTAATAATTTAAATAATTAATAAATACTTTAAATAATTTATAAATAATAAAATGGAATTAAAAATTTGAACATTTCAAAAAATTTATAATAATTACTAAATAATTTTATTTAATTATGATTACAATTTTTTAATCATAATTGATTCAAAATTGACCATTTTCTAAAAAAAAATGTCAATAATAATTTAATTTAATTATGATTAAAACATTTTTTATTCATAATTGATTACAAATTTTAATGGGGACATTTTTGTCCAAAAGGCGCTGCATGGGAGTACTTTGTGTACCTATAGCAAAAAATTGATTTTTTTTTTTAAAGAAAATGGCGATGAAATTGTAAAATTCCAATAAAAGTACACACCTGTGCCAAATTTTATGCAGTTAGCATTAACACAGGCAAAGTGATCAAAAGAACAAATCTGAAAGGGACAACTTTCGACAATAGTTGATAGCCCTGGACAGTCCTCTCAGTTCTTCCCATCAACAAAACATTAATAAAACAATGTATAGACTCTGAATAATCATGACGGGTAATGAGGAGAGGAGTGGAGGAATCGGCTTTGCTGACAGATTAAAGAGAAGATGAAGCGGTATAGAGGAGAACAAGCCTGCGTGACTCATTTATTTATCGTGTTGATCAAGAACGCCTGTGGCCACGAAACTCTCGCTGACAAAGCTCAAATATGGAGAACCAGAGCACAAAATCAGCCTTTAAAAAAAAATTAACATCAATATTTGAAATGCTCTCTCTGCATAAAATGTTGTAGTTAACTACATTTTTATAATTATGAGGTGCTTGATCAGATAAAAGTCTCCTGCACTCCTTCAATGAGCATCTGTGGGCTTTCTCCAGCGGTTTCATGTTCCAGCTGCACAGCTCTCTTGAAGAAAACATGCGATCAGACTCACTGAATCACTGATGCTTCATTATGAAGAGGTCATCAGTCTCACGGGAGTCATTAAGATGGAGGATTTCTCTGCTATGGCAAATTAACTGTGTTTCTGAACCCAAAAATATGAAGTCATTTAGTGTTCACGTCACCTTCCATGACCTCCACATCATCATCATAAACTCTCTGTTCTCAAAAGATTCACTACAATGTTCAGTTCATGTTAATAAATAATGCACAAAGGAAATGACTCAATTTGAATGATTCGTTTGAATCTATGAAAATATGTATCACTAGAAAAAAATATATTTTCATTAACAGTATTTTTTGCATCTTACAAAAAAAGATGTATTTACCCGAGAAGCTAATTATGAATACATTTTTATATTATTAATTTTCTTTCCCCAACAGCAAATCTGTTTTTTTAAAGTATGATCTACTTTAGATGTTTTACAGATTCATGCTGTAATTGCTCATTTAATTTTACATTTTTTTCTCTACATTCATGCATTTAGCAGGCTCTTTTATTCAACGTGATTTACATTGCATTTTAAGGTACACATTCTTATCAGTTTATTTCAATGAAATGATTGTACTATATTTTAGTTGGAGCACAGACTTCAGTTTGGCCTTTTTAAATAAGACACGTGGCAGATTATTGCTGAGGTGGAAAATGTTATGAAAAATGGCCAAGATATTTTTTTTAATATGAAATATATATTTTACAAAACATGTTTTACTCTAAAACTGTGAGATAAATCAAAACAAGATGTGTTTCAAATTTGAGGTTAATATCTCAACAAATGAGCGTTCAGATGTTGTTCGGCTGCAGTACCGAACGCTTCCACTAGGGGAAATTCGGCTCCATTCATTTCATTTTTGACAGAGGAGCACAAGTGTGACGATTAAACCTTTTCGAATCATCTCCATGATTTTTTTTTTTTGTTCACGTAGCAAATCCAAAATCTTCACCTAGCTTCGTATTATTCCGATGAAGTAAAAAAAAAAAATTTAAATAAAAACGTAAAAATTAGCGAACAGCAGCAAATGGTTGATTTACTCCTTTGTAATTAGCAACTTCCTATCTGCTTATTAATAGCCTTTAGCCTATACTAGGGTGTTTTGTCGTTAACTAGTTTAAATTAGGAGTAGCTTGTAGTTTGAGATGCTACAACTTCCTAACAACTATTTATAACTTCTTAGCAACACCCTAGCAACAATCCATAACCCCCATCAAAAAATGTACAAATTTTCTCCGTCTTATTCATGTTTCTAATGTTTTTTTGTTGTTGTTTGTGTTTTCATGTAACTTTGCATGATGCGTTTTCATAATTGCTTGAGTCATTTGAAATTTCATAAGTGTGTAATAGCCTGAAGGAGGTATTTTTGCTCTTTTGTTGTCATTATTTTGCGGATCGACTCATTTCCTCTCCGTGCTCCTCTTGACCCGACCCGAGGCGCCAGTTTAATATCTGTACTTCCTCTGCTCTGAATGCTGCTCTTCAACATCAACATACAATGTTTTCTTTCTTCCCAAGTCGGAAGATCTGGGAGCGTGTTCCCAGTTCGAGGCCAGCCGGAACGCCAGGAACATGATGCCCAGCGCGAGCTGTGGCGTCTTCCCCGAGTTCACGCTCCGCAAGCCCTCCTCGGAGACGGACATCGAGAACTGGGCGTCCAAACACTTCAACAAGCACACCCAGGTACACACACACATGATCGACAGTGTTTTATGCACACAAACGTGGATTAAACCCTTTCAAATTCCATACTTGAATTTATAAATCCTCAAAATCATGAAAATTATTCACACAATCTCCTCCAGTCCATAGTTTAGTCTTTTAGTGTAATTGTGCAGACGTCTTGTGTCTTTTTGCTGTGAAATCTGCACTTTTTTATCAAGTAAACGTAAGAATAATTATGAAATTGTTACTATATTTCATCTACACTGAAGCAGCTTCGGTTTACTTGATCATCCAGACATCATTTATTAGAAAAATCATGAGTATTAAATATGTTCATCGGGCTTTATTTGATCATCTCTCAAATATCATATTATTGCATTGCATTATATTTGTTAAAACTACTAGCTTTGTTCATAAAATAAATTGTCAGATATACAGTGGCGACTGATATTAATATGCATTTTATGCTATTTTTATGATCTCATTGATCTCATATAAATATTAAATTAGCAAATATATAATATTTGTATATATAATATAATATATAATATATTGTATATATAATATTATAATATATAATATAGCAAATAAAAATATTAGCATATGTTTTGGGCCTCTGAAGTGTTTTATTTTCCTCTGAGTATAAGGTTCAAATTCTCTTTATATAAAACAAGAGAATATAGAAAATAGAGATACAAATATATATTCTCATCATTATTCTCAAGCTATAAACGTATCAAAAACCAAACACAAATGCAAACTGTTTAATAAAAAAAGACTTGATTTTTCTGTCCATTATTTCATGTATGTGCTCCACTTTCATTGAAATGTAACATTCTAAATATATAATATGTTATGTTTTTTTTAATGTTTTTTTATTTTTAAATGTTGTTAATGTTTTCTTTAGCATTAGTGTTTTCTTCTTAATCATGGCGTATACAGTGACATCTTGAACAAGAACAAATGTGGGCGGGGCTTGATTTTTTTTTTCTGTGGGGAATTGATTGGATGGTGGTGGTTTGCTATTGGCTAATGTTATGTGAGTGACAGGTGGCCCCGCCCTCATCATCAGAGAAGAAAACAGATGCTGCAAGAGGGAGGGGAAGTTACTGTGATTTAAGATTACACAACATGAATTTAAAAACATAATGTGCATGGATACATTGTGTCTCAAACTGTCGACCCGTGAGCGTCGAGTCTGCAGAGGCAGGAGAAACGACAATCTCCGATATTTTGTATTTGGACTGCAGTACCTATTTCGACCACTAGTGGTCATTCTTACTGACTGCAGTACCTATTTCGACCACTAGTGGCCATTCTTACAGACTGTGGATAAATCTGCAGTACCTATTTCGACCACTAGTGGTCATTCTTACAGACTTACAGACTGTGGATATGTTGTATTTGGACTGCAGTACCTATTTTGACCACTAGTGGTCATTCTTACAGACTGCAGTACCTATTTCGACCACTAGTGGTCATTCTTACAGACTTACAGACTGTGGATATTTTGTATTTGGACTGCAGTACCTATTTTGACCACTAGTGGTCATTCTTACAGACTGCAGTACCTATTTCGACCACTAGTGTTCATTCTTACAGACTTACAGACTGTGGATATGTTGTATTTGGACTGCAGTACCTATTTTGACCACTAGTGGTCATTCTTACAGACTGCAGTACCTATTTCGACCACTAGTGGTCATTCTTACAGACTTACAGACTGTGGATATTTTGTATTTGGACTGCAGTACCTATTTCGACCACTAGTGGTCATTGTTACAGACTGCAGTACCTATTTCGACCACTAGTGTTCATTCTTACAGACTGTGGATATTTTGTATTTGATCTGCAGTACCTATTTCGACCACTAGTGGTCATTCTTACAGACTGCAGTACCTATTTCGACCACTAGCGGTCATTCTTATAGACTGCACCTTTAACCGAGGGGATTTGTCTTTCAGGGGCTGTTCAGGAGGAAAGTGTCCATTGCCAACATGCTGGCCTGGAGCAGCGAGCCCATCAAGAAGCCCATGATCGTGACTTCGGACCGAACCGTGAAGCGCGAGGCCGTGGACCTCTTCAAACTGATCCAGATCTACATGGGCGACCGGCGTGGGAAAGGAGACCCTCTGTCGGTGGCTCTGGAGGTGACGGTGCGGGGCTGGAGCTGTCAGGGCCTGAGGGATGAGCTTTTCATCCAGCTCTGCAGACAAACCACCGAGAACTTCCGCTACGACAGCCTTCAGAGAGGCTGGGAGCTCATGGCCATCTGTCTGGCCTTCTTCCCCCCCACGCCTCGCTTCCACAACTACCTGGAGGGCTACATCTACAGACACATGGACCCGCTGAACGACACCAAGGGTACGGCGTGAGCGTCACATTAGTTTTAAAGGGGTCATCGGTAGTGCTGGGCGGTATACCGGTTCATACCGAAAACTGGTGTATATTTTTGTTATGATGTTAATTTTTAATATACCGCCATACCGATGAATTTAATTATACAACGTTACGCTGCGCCGCTATACCGATGTTTCAGACGGACACTTTACAAGGTTGCACTTCTTAGCAGCGACGGTGAGGCGAGGGTAAACAGCAGTGCTCTCTTGTTACATTACAGGGAAGGTGGACGCTGCAGAACTATGGCATTATTTTCCTGTTAAATGTCGAGAGCGCACTATTGTACCGCGAAAGGAAATTAATAATACAATGCGCGAGCGCGAATCTCTGCTTGCGCATGCTCTCAGATACACGCTGCTCTTGTAATAATAGGTCTGTTTTCTCTGGGCTCGCTCTGAGAATCATGTACTTAAAACGTGTTCAGTGCAATCGCGAATCTCTCCTCTTCCCCAGTCAATTTTAGGTCATAAGAACGTTTTCATAACGTTTCCATTAAAGGAGTAGTACACTTTAAAAAAAATTTTTTTTTTTTATTTATTGATAATTTACTCACCCCCATGTCATCCAAGATGTCCACGTCTTTCTTTCTTCAGTCGAAAAGAAATTAAGGTTTTTGGTGTAAACATTCCAGGATTTTTCTCCATATAATGGACTTCAATGGGGTCCAAACGGTTCAAGGTCCAAAAGACAGTTTCAGTGCAGCTTCAAAGGGCTTTAAACGACACCAGATGATGAATAAGGGTCTTATCTAGGACCCTTCGAGTCATGAGTCATGACTCGTTCATTTTGATGAACAGGAGAGTCACAAACGTGCATCACAGAACAGAGCAAGGCGAGCATTTGAGCTTATAAAACTTAAACTTTGTTATTCATTTTTTTAAATGAGCGATCGTTTCGCTTGATAAGACCCTTATTCATCATCTGGAATCGTTTAAAGCCCTTTGAAGCTGCACTGAAACTCTTTTGGACCTTGAACCGTTTGGTTCCCAATGAAGTCCAATTTAGGTTTGCAATTATAGTTTTAAATAATTTGCAAGATTAGAATTAGTGAGGAAAGGTCAACTCGAGTCTTAAAGTCAAAATGAATAACAGTGTTATAATTTTTGCTAGATGCTATGTCAAAAAAAGTATGATCTCATCTCCTGACAATTATTATTAAGCTATTATTAAGATTCTGATAAACCAAATACAGTGTGTATATTTGATTTGCCGTGACTGACGTCTGCGTGTGTTTCTCTGTTGCAGGAGTGGCGATAAGCAGCTATGCAAAATACTGTTACCGTAAACTCCAGAAAGCGGCGCTCACCGGAGCCAAGAAGGTTCGTGTCTTTTGTTAAGGTTTTTTTTTTTTTTGGTAACATCTTATTTTACAGTGTCCTTATCACATATGTTACATGTTCTTTCTATAATAATAACAGTAGATTATGTATAATTACATGCAACTAACCCTCAAACAAATCCTACTCTAACCCCACTGTAAAAATATTTTCAAGATTTGTTATCACAACATATTTTCTTTTGTCAAATCAACTTTATAATAATTTATTTAGTTGAGATAACTTATTATTTTGAGTTTCTGATGGTAAAATTAATCTACTTCATTGTATTAACTCACTTTTTCTAGTTCAATCAACTTAAAATTTTAAGGCAACCCAGGTTACTTACTTTTTTAAGTTAAACCAACAATATTTTTTTTACAGTGTAGTAATCACAACATTTTTTCTTTTGTCAAATCAACTTAATTTATTTAGTTCAGATAACATATAATTTTGAGTTTCTGATGGTTAAATTAATCTACTTCATTGTATTAACTCACTTTTTCAGGTTCAATCAACTTAAGGCAACCAGGTTACTTACTTTTTTAAGTTAAACCATCAATATTTTTTTACAGTGTACTCACTTAAATATATAAATACATTGTAACAATGATGTCATTGTTACAATGTATTTATATATTTAAGTACTGAGTAATATTAATTAACTATATGTACTTACTATAGGATTAGAGTAGTATTTGGTTGAGGGTTAGTTGCATGTAATTACTGTATAATTTACTGATAGTAAGTTCATGTAACAAATGTAAGGACACTGTAAAATAAAGTGTTACCAAATGTTTTGTTTTTTTTACTGTAAAGCACTTTGGGACCCTTCCTCGTCTGTGAAAGGCGCTACTGTATATACATAAACTTTGCTTTCTTAAAGGCTGCTTCACACTTGTAGTGTTGCCATGTCCTCTTGTTATACGCGTTTTTTGGGTTGTTTAAGTTAAAGTAACTTTCACCTAGAAATTGCTTGTAAATTTATAAATAATTACAAAGAAAATGCAAGTACACTCATAAAAAAAGAGTTTTCACTCAGAAATTAGACAATTAGAAAGAAACTATTCATGACATATCAGCCATCATCTCGGTATTGGTCCTTTTTAATACTATCGTTAAGAACATTTGTTCGATATATTAAAGCCGATAAATTACGTATTATTTACTGCAGCTGAGACACTTCAGATGGTTTTGAATTGCTTGAAATATAATTGATGATGTCACTTCAAAAAGGAAAATAGAGTTCAGTGCAAGTCTGTCATATAGACTACATACAATTATAATGAGAACATCATTATGATTATGTGCTTGGGACATGGTGAGACTTTTGTTTTTGTAATCAGGCTCTTAAATATTATATAAATATATAATAAAACTTCAAATGCTTCTAATGCAGACAACTTTCCAGTAAATTTCACAAATACTTTCAAAGAAACTCCAAGTAACACAATGAATTTTGAAGTAAAGTCTCCGATAAGTATTTTTTCACGGTGTATTTTTAATGTTATATTTAACGATAGTGTTCTGCGTCGGATTCATCTTTACTTCTCGTCTCTATTGCCAATGGATGTGCTAATTGGCCATGAAGTGGTGGGAGGAGCCCGTTCGGCCTGGTATTTAAACGTTTTTTAATTAACATTCAGTTTCACGAATCTGCCTATTGCCCTGGAGACATCGCCATGGCAACGGTTGCCGAGGCTCAAATAGGCTGGTGATGATTTGCTTGGCGACCGCATTGTTGCGTGATGAGGTGTCAATCATCGCACCTGCGTGACGGGATCTTCCCCATGCGTTCCTTCTCGTGTGTGAATGTGTGTAAGTTTCAATCGCATGATGCCAGTGGCCTGTGGAGATTCCAGTCGGTGTAAACGGCCAGTAAAAGGGAACTGTGTGTGTTTGCCAGACGCCCAGCGGGGTAAAGCTTGAATCCATGGCTCTGCTCCAAACCCCAGTGTGCTGCCCACATAGGCCTCGTTTGCATGCTCATAAACACTGCAGCGTATGCCATCTTTCTTTGGCCTGTCCACTTCAGGTGGACGATCACGCAGTTTTCTTCCAGAAACAAACTTTGTTGTATTAATTTCATGATATCACTGTGAAGCTGCTTTGATCTGTTTTGTATAAAGCGCTTTATAAATGAAGCTGACTTGACTGGACTTGGCCGGACACGAAGGCAGGGTTCATATCCAGTGTGGGATTTTAGCAATTTACAGGTCTGGATATGTATAGAAAAAATATTAAAATATTTGTGTTTCCAGACTATTGCCACTATTTTTTTTTTCATTCATTACACAAATAAATAATCTCATCTGCAAATTTTTAGTAAAGCAAACATTATTAAATAGTTATTTTTTGAAAATAATGTTTTCTAAATTAATGTAATCAGTGACGGTATTATTTTAAATGTAGAAATGACTAAATGTAGTGAAAATGTGAATGTAATTAATATTATTTATGGATATTTTGACAAGATTTTAAAACTTAAAATGTATTTTTCAGTAAATAGAAAATAAATTAAATATATATAAAATTAATACAATTAACAAATAACTATATTTAGAATTATGCAGTCAGTGAAAATGTGAATGTAATCAATATTATTTCATTGATATTTTGACAAGATTTAAAACTTAAAATATATATTTACGTAAATATAAAATACATTAAACATATATACTGTATTATATATATATATATATATATATATATATATATATATATATATATATAATACAGTTACTTAATACAATTAATTTGAAACATTTTTATAAATAAATATTATCAGTGACAATTTTAAAACTTAAAATAACTATATTTCAAATTATGCAGTCAGTGAAATGTAATCCATATTATTTTTTCATAGTAATTTTAATAAAATGTATATTATTTTAAAGATTATTATAGGAATTTTTCTAAATAAATGTTATCAGTGACGATATAATTTTAAAACTTTGAAATATTTTTTTAAATAAATGTAATCGGTGATGATATTTTAAAACTTATAATGGAATGAAATTAATGCATTTTAAATATTCAAAATGCATGTAGTTTTTTATATTTTTTATTGCCTTTATTTGTTATAATTGTGATGATTATGTCTTACAGATATGAAAACCTTTTCACAATATTCTAATTTTGAATTTGGGGTTTTCATATCTGTAATCCATAATCATCACAATCATAAGAAATAAAGCCTGTAATGAGTCTATATAACATATTAGTTTCACATTTGAATTACTGACTTACTGAAATAAATGAACTTTTGCACCATTTTTCAAAATTTCACCTATAAAGTATATTCAGGTATTTTCAAAAATATAATTACAATGTAAAAAACATGTATGTGCACAATATCAAATGATTACTCAATATAAGCCCTAATTATTAATATGTTTAATATCTGTCCGTCCGCAGGGTTTGAACAAGCCGTCGATCGAGGAGATCGCTCACGCCCGTAACGCCATCTTCCGGCTGTCGATGTTCGGCTCGTCTCTGGAGGAGGTGATGCTGATGCAGAAGGACCGCTACCCCGATCGAGAGCTGCCGTGGGTGCAGACGCGGCTCTCCGAGGAAGTGCTCGGCCTGAACGGAGACCAGACCGAGGGCATCTTCAGGTCGGATGCGCTTCATTCAACACTTCATTGCTAGATTTAAAGGTCGTATCAGCGATTGTGGGTGACGTCACTTCTGTTTGTGTCTGAAGCGAATTCCCAAACAAACCAAGTTAGTTTGCCCCTCCCCCCGTTTCGTGCATCATGAAAAAAACGATCATGCACGCGCATTTCTTAAAGCGACAAAAACACACTATTTTCAGATCTACCGGTCTACCTCAATGATGGCTCGTTCTGTGAAATGTAAAATGTGAACTCGGCCGCTTCGGATTACGAAGTATCCTGCAGTCGAGCCATGTCATATCAGTTTTGCTGGTGTACGATAAAACGTACCAGAATCAGTTAATATAGCTACAGATCTATCGTTATGAGGAAAACTCGTGGCAAAAGATGAATTGATGAATTTGATCTTTTTTTTTTTGGGCCTGAAATCGCTGATACAACCTGCGGTGACTGAGTAATTCAAGTAGCGTTTTGAGTTGACAGCACATTTATAGGTAATTCTGTCTGGGAAAGTTCTGACAATTACAGACCAATGGCATTGGCCCAAAAATAATGGAAACAATCCTGCTGGACGGGCTTTCAAAATTTCTTAAAGTCGGCGTGAAACGTTTTTCCTTGTCGTGACGTATATATAAGTGAAACGGCTTCTGAAATGAGAAAAAATGTAGGGAAAAAATCCCTCGGGAATTGACTGGATCGTTGGAGGTTGGGCGTTCCAAACAATTTGAATGTGATTCTCTCACCGATAGCCGCACCTTCATCAGATCTGGCCACACCCTTTTGCCATTCCACGTGACCAAAAGAGAGAGAGGTCGTTTCGAAGGGGGATGGGAAGGGTAATGTATTTGATTAAAGATTTCAAGGGTACATGAATTTTAAAAAAAATAATGAAGTGCACGGATAAATCATTTATAATAAACACTACAATATTACATATAAAAAGAAGATTTGTCAAATTTGATTTCATGCCGACTTTAAATATACGGATAACCAGTTTGGTTTTAAGGCTATGCATGTATATGCTCTTAAAAATATAGCCTATATGAGTTTCTCAGATGCATCTAAAGCACTCGATAGAGTAAACCACAGAAAATTGTTTATTCAATTAATCCAAAAATGTGTATTAATCCAAATATATGTATTTTAACAAACAATGCAGATCAAACGCTGGAACGTGTGTCCGCTCCATTCAAACTTCGTAATAATGGTGTGAGACAGTGTCTTTAACTTATTTGGATGAGCTCAACACGGCTCAGAGTATGTAAAACTGTGATTTTGTTCTGAATCATGTGATAAATGCTGATGATCTCGTGAAGTTACTCAACATTTGTTCAGTCTATGGCAGTGGTTCTTTTCACTTTTTGTGGTGTGTGTGTGTGTGTGTGTCTTATATCTATATTGGACCACGAGTCCGGAATAAAGTGAAACAGACAATTTGAACTGATTCCCATTTTTGAACTGCATTTCTGCTGCTGAAGTTTTAATCAGAGACAACATTAACGCTCTTATACATGTGGAATTAATCTAATGACACTCTGGGAAATGTAATTACTTAATAAAAACTGCATTAAAATCATTAGTGTTCACAGTGCCTGCAAAATCATTGCAAATGTATTGTAAATCTTCAGCCCTAATTAACCCTCATTAACCCTGCTGACATCACCACATGTACGCCATTAACCCACACAGTAGATAATATAAAACTGTGTGGTGGTTATAATTAATAAATGAATCTTTGAGATCTAATTAGACCTGGATTGTTCAGTGTTGGCATGTTTACTGGACAAACGTGGCATCCAAAATATCAATCGCTGGTAGTAGGTCACATGACACATGTAGTACGTGCAAATTTCATTCATACTTCCCCATATTCATACTATATAAACATACTTTTTAACGGTTGCAAAGTTAGTTCAAATTCAAATGTAGTACCAACTGACTTGATGGCATCAATGAAGACCTCATCTCATACAGTAGATGGTTCTAGAAGTGTTTTTCCCATTAATTTCTCCCATAGGGATTTCAAAAAAGTCTTCTTTAAAGTGTTATAAGCCACGAACCAAAATGTAAAATGTAACCTGTACTTAAATAACTCTTAATATGTATTGGATAACTTGAAGCCTTAAATGAAACATTGATAATCATTAAATGCTAAGCGTGAACCCTCACTACTGTTCAGATTAAAACTCATTGGCACAATAAACCCCAACAGTATATATGAAATAAGCTTTTATGTTATAATAACCTGGCTTCATTACTGAAATGTGTTCATTGTCGTCACCATTTCCAAGATGCTGATGTTTTGCTGAAGTGCAGCGTGTGTTTTTGTGTGTCTCAGGGTGCCTGGAGACATTGATGAAGTAAACGCGCTCAAATTACAGGTGGACCAATGGAAGGTGCCGACCGGCCTGGAAGACCCACACATTCCAGGTATCCCACAATACCTTCTTATCTAATTTAAGCAACAATTTACATGCGATTGGGGGTAATATATGCCCGAGTATGGTATAGCAAATTTCTCACAGACCATTATGGCCACAAGTCAAACAAGCCGAGATTTAGTCTGATTAATAGGCCTCTATTAATAGGTGCTGATGGCGGGCATATGCAAATGTCCTCATAGACAGTCTTGGTACCTTGGATAAAGACACTGCATTTCAATTTTCAAGTCAATCGGACTAATGGTTATGTAGTTATAGCCATTTTCATGTTTTTTTTTTATGTTATAGCGCCACCAAGTGGCAAAATCCCGTTTTT